AAACGGACTTGAAAGAAACCAACAGCCAACCAACCAACCAACCAACCAACCAACCAAACAGCAACAACAATCATTGGGATTGGAGTGACTTCCAACGACCGACGACCGACGACTGGTATTTCCCTCTCTCTGGGGCTTGTTATGAATTTGTAGCTGGCTGGGCTGAGCTGTCGCCGTGTCTTTCATTATAAAAAATGAATATACATTTTGTATATATGTATGTACCTGCGTACGAGTATATGGAGGCTATATCTTTTCAACAAATTACTGAAGGTCACTCAAACCCCCCGAAGTGTACAAGCAACTTTTTAATATTTCATTTAAAATCTATATAAATGGGTCTTTGATGGGTTTTGGGATTTTGGGTTTGGATTTGAGTAAAAGGTTAAAACAAATTTTCCATGGTTTTCCCTCTGCACCCACCCACTTGTTACTCGTTCTCGTCGTTCGTAGTGATGGCTAATTGAACTTCCGCAGATTTCTGTGCACGCTATGACAGATCGTCATCAGTGTATGGCCATCACCTTGCCGCCGCCTGGTGCCTTGCGGATTGTCTATGCGCCGTAGTTTCCGGTGTGTTCCGGTGTCTGTTTGCATCCACAAATGTGAATGTGCTGGAACTGGGGTACATATGTATGTACATATCTACTACACTTTTCACAAATCTCTTTTCAGTCAACAAACAAGTACGAAAAATCAGGATACACAGACATATGTTAGCGCTGTGTCTGCCTGCTGGTTGGGGGGTGATTGAGAGAGTGCACCAAAAAGCCAAAGCCCGAAGCTAAAAATCCACAAACCCAACCCACAACGAGCCAAAGCCATAAAAACCTCAAAGCGGTGCATGTGAGAAATGAAAGATACGAAAAATTATATAAACATTATAGGCAAGAGCGTGAGTACGAGTAAAGCAACCGCAAAACAACAAGACCAGAGTTGCAGCTACAACCACACAGCTACAACGATATGTAACAAGAGGCAGCAACAGTCAGGCTTGGTGGTGGTGGCAGAGACACAAAACCAAACCACGAATACCAGACCAGACCAGAGCAGACCAGGGCTCTCTCGGGGTGTGCTGGTTGTCAACTACTTTTGCTTTTGTTATGCCTCTGCCCTGTCTCTTGGGTTGGTAATTTTAATGTTGGTTGTTTTTTTTTTCGGTTTTATTTTCTGGTTTCTCAGCCCCGCGAGACGAGAAACTATGCCAAAGCTAACGACGGATTACAATAATCAAAATACATACGGGTACACACACATAAACACATACACACACACTCGCTCATACAGAGTCAGTAAAGTGGTGGCAATGGCGTTCGTTGCCAACAATTATGCACCTAGTTGGAAATGCGCCGCTACGGCTAAGACAGAGTGACAGCTTGCAGCACTAGCAACTAATTGGCTATTTAGACAACACTGGTAAAACAAACGATTTCGATTACATGGGCCAAAAACTAGCATCGATATCGAGGAGATAGCGGGGACACACAAAAACAAGTTCGACACAAATAAATTTATGTGTGGTGCCAGGCCATAAAAGCTTTTCCACCCTGCGCACGCACACACCCAGAAATAGAAAATAAAATAGTTACCCATAAACCTATTTACGGTAACAATTCAACACAAAAAAAATGAGGAATTGTTATGACAAAGGCGGAAGACCCGGGCAATTACAATTAAGTTAACCAATTATAAACAAAAAGCACCCCACTGAGTGTTCTTGTGTGTAGCGGGGCGAGGGACAAGAGCGAAAGAGGTCCGAGATACGGAAACCGCAATGGAGGAACCCGATACGAATGGCATTTGGCCATAGGACCATTTAAGTTTTTTTTTTTTTTGGCATTTTCGCTTGGTACGCTCTACGCTCAAATGCGTAAACATTTACATATGCAAATATTAATGACCTTCACTTTCGCCACCTCCTCTCTGTCCGAGTCGCATTGATATGCAGAAGGGGTGTCCAGAAGAGAGCATCGCAGTCTGAGCGAGACATAGCAACAGAGAACAGTTATTTGTAAGCTTATCAATAATATCGGAAAAAGCTATCTCAAAAAACTGTTGTGCTTTGAATGTTTCGAAATACATAAACGATCTACACAGCTAAATGTATCGCAACTTCAAAAATATCAATTGATGTCTGAACTTTGCCACAATGTGCATGCGAAGGTGGTTTCAGTGGGATGTGTGTCGTGTGCGACGCATAATTTGACACAAAATACATACACATGTACAGAAAACAACACTCAAGCGAACAAAACTGAAACTCGGCATGGCCTTCCCTGTCTACCGCTGCTCGTGATCGAGCAACAGCACAATTACTGTAAATAGGTAGAAAAAAGACAGCACAAACAACAGGCAGTTGCACAAATATTAAAAAGCACACATTGAAACAGGAACAGACACAGATAGACACACGCAAACGGTATTACAGTAATCAATGTCAAATGCTGCCGATTTCATTTGTGTGCACAAAACGGCAAAATATGCCCGACAGTCTGTCTTATTGTGATTTTATAGTTGTGGTGGTACGGCCACACCAACACCAGCTAGTTTTAAAGAGCGAAAAATACGCGTCAAATGTCAAAATGAAAAGAACAGCAGCAACAAATACCACACATACATATGTAAATATGTTTACGTATAAAAAAGCCGCCCCTCCCCCCAATAAGAAAATGAGCGTTATATTTGAGAGAATGGTTCCCAAGCGAAAATAATATTTACATTTCGTATTTGAGCTTCAGATGGTTTTGTAGATTTTAAGAGCAAGTAAACTTTTGAAATGCCAGCACACAGAGTCTCATACACTCAAACATTTGGACACACACATGCGGATATAAAAAAGCACCACTTGTTGTTGGCATGATTAAATGCAATGCGTGCGAGTGTGACGGCACGTTGTAGTTTAGTGCTCGCGTTCGCAAAAGCAAGGTAAGATCGAGACACCAACACGACACACATACAAACACACATGCCATCTGTGAAGCATCTCTCGTACACACACAAACTATATACTTTCACTTCTTGTATTGAATTTTATTTCTCTTGGCGCCACGTTGTTGTTGTTTCTTATAATTTTTGAGTCGGATATCTACATATGTGTGCATGTATGTATATGCAAGTGGGTATTTATATTTGCCTGTCACTCGGCAACAGGAAAATAAGAGAATAGGTGGCTAGAAAACACCTTTTGTGTTCATCTTTATTACAAGAAAATCCCATAAACGACAAACTGTTTGAACAGAAGGTCCCCGGTCCCTAGCGATGCGAGCCCATCTACGCAAGTCCAGGGCGCAGCGTACGTAAGCAGCAATCTCCGAATACGTCATTGAAACTCTCTACCTCCTCCTCACTCTATAGTTCCCTTGCATTACTGCACAAAATAGTGGCACTCGACCACACACATACACAATGAAGTACACATTCATACACTAGCACTTACACCTACAAACAGCAAGTTCGCCCGATCTCTTTTCCACTCTCCCACAAACTGTATTTCCATCTCACTTGCTGTTGTTTTTGTGCAATTTATGCAATGTCGCATTACTCGATTGTTTACTTATAGGAGACAATGACTAACCATAAGTTATGAAAAATAAATTGCGGTTTGTTTGTTTGTCATTCATGTACGGGTGCAAAAATAAACACTTTCATCATCTGGTTAACACATGCTTTCTGAATATTTTATTAAATATAGGTTAAAAATGAATCAAAAACCGGCAATGGGTGAGAATTGGTTCAAACGAAGCGCTCGATTGTTGGTGAAATCAAAGAGAAGTCAGTCTTGGTCTTGGATGGGATTTCTTTGGAATGCTGAAGTTGCGAAATGAGAGCCGACGCGAAACGGCGAGACGTCAAGAGACAACCAACGCGAGCAAGTGGGCCAGCTAGCCAGCCAGGCGAGGTAATGGGGAAGGGGAGGGAAAGAGAGCTCTCTAACGTCACAAATGGGGAGGCGGCTGGCTACATCATCATCCATCTATTTTCTATACATTTGTATGTGCATAAATCGATGTTACTTAGCGGGCGGGTAAACAAACAACCGTACAAGGATAACGCCACTACAGCAGAAAATCTAATTAGAACGAGCGACTCACAAACAGCAAGAGCGACAAACAAAAGTTGAATGTTAAAATTAGACGCACACCTCTGCTCTTCTCCCGCTTCCACCCACGTTCTTGTTCTAGGATAACTTCCACACTCACACCCACACACGTAAATTTGTACGTACATATGTACATAGACGCACGCCCACAATGCAACAGCGTCGAGAATGAGAATCACAAATTGGGGGCAGGGACAGGCTGAGGGCAGGCAGCAGCGGCAGTAGCAGTAGACAACGGGAACAGCTGCGAGCGAATTAACATAAATTGTATGCAAAATTGGGGTTGATAATATTGTTGTTACATGGCGGCGGCGACATATTGTTTATTGGTTTTCTGCTACAGCTACATTCCAGCAATTTCCTTGCCAGGCTCTCGCCTCTCTCTCTCTCTCTGTACTATTTCTCTCTTCTTTTCTTTTTCAATGCTGCTTCTTATTTGTGTGTTGGCATATTTTGGTTAAGTGGTTTTTTTTTGTGGTATTTTATACGGTAGCGGCACTTTTATGAAAGTTGATTTTACTATTTCATTTGTATGGTTATTTAAAAATGTAATTGAAACGCGAAAAATACGTTTTCGATGGTATTCTTTTTTTTAGTTTGTTCAACAGTCGGGTTGGGGCGACGGCAGACGGCGACGTTAGCTGGAGCGCGCGTGCATAACACGCACACATACATACACATACACAAAGTGGAGAAATCAATCAAGAGTGAACAGCCGGAAGGGGGGAGCACCGTGTGGAGTGGAAGGAAAATCACATATGTATATTCAGCAATGTAAATGCGACAACATTTTCACGCATCTTTGTTTCGTTCCGATTTGAGCATGTGTATTATATTTTTTACTCGCTTCTTTTCCTTTCTTACACAATATTTCTGATAATTTTCAGATTTTTGCACTCACTTCTTTCTTAATTATATTACGCACTGGATTTCTCGGTTAACACTTAATTGAGCCGCTTGCAAACGATGCTGTTACGAATAATGCACGTATTTCCCTTAAACTACAGTTCTCTTTATAATTAATAGTGTAATCTGGTTCAACAAAAAATTCAGAAAATCACGTCATGGCTGCCACGTCCAAGCAACAATGAAATGAATGTAAGTGGTGGCTCTCAATTTCGCGATTTCTGGATTTCGGCCGTTCTACAATACGGTCCGATTGTTATCGCAACACGGTTACACTGCGACTGGTATTGCGTCCGCTTTAGAGTGCGGTCATACTGCGAGTTTTTCAACTCGACATTTTAATGTCATTTCATGGCCGAAATCGTCCCTATTTAATATATAGCCCCTAATTAATAAATGACTAATATTCGAACAAAGTCACGCCTGTTTTTATGCATATAATAAGCGTTTTACACGGCGATAGACCAAAACAACCGCGAACAACAGATGTTTTGGTGTGCGAGCGGGACGGCTATAGGTGTCGTGCATTCGCGAAACGAGAGAATATAAAAATGCAATAATAAATTTGTGTAGAATGAAGGAGACGCAAAATCGAAGAAAAACGCGCCACACATAAAATATTTCACAAGATTTGTAACAATTAACCATAAATAAGTTCGAACGAGCGCTCCGAACCACATTTTTCTTATTGGTATTTTCGACCATAACAAACAATAATAATAAAGGGGCATGGGGGTGTACGCAACGCACGCTGCGCGGCTTCGCGGCTCTTGATCATGACCACGGTTCTCGCATTCTGGGCAACCAGAAATTTTCAACTCAACAAATGCAGACTAAAACAATGCACTTACCCTGAAAATTATCGTCATTTTCTTCTTCCGATGCCATGGTTGCTGCTTATTGCAACTTTTACACTATTTATCCACACGAAAATCACTTAATTTCCACAACAAATATTTGAGCACACACAGACACGACGAGAAAAAAATAGACAAGTTGTAAGCGGCTTCAACAAATATGGCGGAGCGGAGAGCGAACAGAAAGACTGAGAGACACCCAGGGCTGCCTTGGATACATTTACATCGATGGTTGGCGATAGTTGGCGCTCATTCACAGCAGATTTATAGATTTCTTTTTTGAAACAATCACGTGTTCTGAAAATCATAAAAAACCAAATAGTTTTTAATGCAAAATCAACTCTATTTTATCCGGTTTTTTAAACATTACTAATTAACTTGAAACTAATAAAACTATCGTAAGAATCGATGTTTCAAAAAGCAGCCCTGGGCTATGCTATCTCGACAATTTTTCACCCAAAACGTTGTGTGCGAGAATTGCGTGTTTTCCGTAGCTTTTTGGACTTAAATACCAATAAACGCAAGAGGAATGTGCAAAGTTCTTGGTAAATAACTTTTACTTTTTAGTCAGACCAATTTAATTGCGAATTATGTCGTCCATTATAACGCGCAAGGATGGCGAAAGCGAAGAACAGAAATTGGCGAAAAAGCGCGCTGCTACGTCGGGAACCGTGCCAGGGCCCGACGGCGTCGAAGCACCAAAGAAATCTCGCTTCGATGTTAAGGAAAAAAACGGCGATGAGCTGCTACCGACCATCACAGCCGCCGCCGCCTCTTCGCTGAGCTCCACGCAAATCAAGCTAATGATGGCGCATGCCCAGCGCGAAATCGAGGAGCGGAAACGAGCCTTGAGCAACCTGCGGGACAAGGATCCCCTGCTGGCCTCTGTACCCTCAATTGGAATGCCCGTTGCTCTTGCAACCCAAGCGCTATCGAAGAAGCCAACGCCCGAGGATGCGGACAAGGCTAGAAAGATCGCGGAGCTGCAGGCCCAGATACGTGCCAAGTTAACTGGCAATCTGGCCAACCTCATCCAGCCCACAGCCGTGGCGGCTGCCGCTGCAGCTGCTGCCCAGCAACAGGAACGCCCCAAGCCCCTCATTCTCGACGATGAGGGACGCACCGTGGACAAGAGCGGACGGGCCATTAACATACCCACAGTGACGCCAACCCTCAAGGCCAATATACGGGCAAAGAAACGGGAAGTGTTCCAGCGACAGGCGGGGCCCAGCGAGCGTGCCGGGGAGGCCACTGGCTCCGCCCAGGACGATGCCATCAAGTACTTTGACGACCGCATCGCGCTCAAGCCGACGGTGAGGAACAAGCGAACGTTGCGCTTCCACGAGCCCGGCAAGTTCCAGCAGCTGGCAGAGCGGATGCGCATGAAGAGCCAGTTGGAGCGACTGCAGAATGAAATATCGCAGATAGCCAGGAAGACGGGCATTTCGTCGGCCACAAAGCTGGCACTGATTGCACCCAAGCAGGACATGCCCGACGCTGTGCCTGCCATGGAGTGGTGGGACTCTGTCATCCTCACACAGGACATGCAAACGCTGGACGAGGGCAGCGGTAAGATAAGCATACGCCAGACGGCCATCAGCAACCTCATCGAGCATCCCACACAAATGAAGCCACCAAGTACGTTGCTCACTCCCCTTTGCCTTTGCCCTTAAATCTAACTGTTAAACGTTTCGCTTTTGCAGATGAGCCACTGAAGCCGGTCTATTTGCCGGTATTCCTCACCAAGAAGGAGCGCAAGAAGCTGCGCCGCCAGAATCGTCGCGAGGCCTGGAAGGAGGAACAGGAGAAGATACGCCTGGGGCTGGTCGCTCCACCCGAGCCCAAGTTGCGCATTTCGAATCTGATGCGAGTGCTGGGCTCGGATGCCGTGCAGGATCCCACCAAAATGGAGCAGCATGTGCGCGAGCAGATGGCCAAGCGGCAGAAGGCGCACGAGGATGCCAACAATGCCCGGAAGCTGACCAGCGAGCAGAAGAGCGAGAAGAAGCAGCGCAAGCTGAAGGAGGACACCAGCTGCGGCGTCCATGTGAGCGTCTATCGCATACGCGACCTCCAGGACAATCAGAGCAAGAAGTTCAAGGTGGAAACGAATGCCAAACAGCTGCAGATGACGGGCACAGTGGCCCTCTTTCGCGACTGCTGTGTCGTGGTGGTCGAGGGCGGTCCCAAGCAGCAGAAAAAGTACCGCCGCCTCATGCTGACACGCATCAAGTGGGACGAGGATCTGGCCAAGGGCAACGATGGCCAGGATGTGCCCAACTCGTGTGTGCTGGTCTGGGAGGGCACCAGTCAGCGTCGCCACTTTGGCGAGATCAAATTCAAGATTTTCCCCATGGAGAAAATGGCACGCGAGTTCTTTCAGAAGCATCAAGTGGAGCACTACTGGGATCTGGCCTACTCCGGTGCAGTGCTGGAGGCCTCAACGGATCAGCAGTAGGACAAAGTCACGTTTCAAAGCATTTTTGGTATAGTTTTAGCTTGGAAAAGTAAACATTTGAATTTCGGATAATAAGTGTTCCCGCTTTATTTATCTCTTGACAAACGGATCCTCCTTGATGTTGGTCTGTATGAATTCATCCAAGCCCTGCTGCTTGAGTCGCTCAATTATCTCCGCCAGCCGCTGATCCTCCAGCGCGCTCTCTGCCTTCTCGCGTACATCGAGCTCGTGCTGCTCTTTGACGCGTGCCGTGAGCACGCGGCGTATTATCTGTCGCAGCGACTTGTTAATGGTCAGCGTATAGTCGAGCAGTTTCACGTAGGTGGCAGGACTGAGATAGCCAGCCTGCTGGCACTGGGCCACCTGCTCAAAGGTGTCCATGCTGGCCGTGGTTATCAGCCCGTGCTCTTGGAGAGCAGCCGTGGGATTGCTGTTGTCGCTGCCTGCCAACGCGTGACCCCCACGATGCTTACGCAGCAGCTCCTCCTCCTTGGCACTGGGATTGAGGAACACATTGTCGCGGTAGATGCATGCCGAGGAGGCTGTAATCAAGTCATAGGTGGAGATGCCGCACTCGACCAGCGCCACGCCGCAACAGTTGATGGCGGTGCTGAGCAGGCAGCCATCGTCGTCCAGTATCAGCACACGAATGTCCAGCTGGAAGTTGAGGAACTCCGTGCGGCAGACAACTGGTTCCAGGGCTTTGGTCAACATGCTGCCCAGATGCTTCTCGCGCTCCGGCACCGACTCCAGCTCCCCGGTGGCAAAGGCCGCAAAGTTCACAAAGCAATTGATGACGCCCATGTTCATGCGGCGAGCGCTGGCGCGCATCAGTTCGTGTGGAGGCGCCACTATGGCCAGAACTTTTGTGTTTCCATATTCCATGTAAGCGGAGCCACGCACCGTTGTCAGAACTCCAGCACGCACAACTGCATAAACAAGCATGGATGGTAACTCATTAGATAACTACTATATTTAATATTCAAGTCGGGCACTAACATGTTGATCGTGGGCAAAGTTTTGTTGGGTTCTTGCCCGGCAACTCGAGACTGTCGAAGCACTCTTCGCAGTCCTTTGGCGTTGTGTAAAGATCTTCTGCTATGGTAGCACCATCCAGCAGGGTATTTTTCGTTTGTGTGACCCTCAACATTGTTCTTGGATTGGATTCGTTGGGAAATATTTGATTTAATTAATAACAAAAATAAACGTGTTTGAAATCAGTGTTACAGTGTTGTAAAACACATGTGGGAGCACACGATTTTATTTGTACCCAACACCACCCACCAATATCGATAGTTAAGCCAATGAATCGATACCCCCGATAGTCGCAAGTGGCAACTCTATCAAAAAGCGCTGTGTAATTCTGCTGAGTTTCAGAAACAAGAAAAAAAGTGAACGCCGCATTTAAAGTAAAATCTCAAATTAAATAAAGTTTTCAAACGAAAATCGTAGCAATATTCGTAGTGGAAACATGACGGGTGAGACCAAGCAGGAGAAGAAGCAGCCGGCTGTTGCCGATCCCAAAGATTTGAAGGCAAAGCAGGCAGAGACTGGCGATGACAAGGCAAAGAAGGACGACAAGGAGCAGCCCGAGCTGTCCGATGAGGATCAACAGCTGCAGGAGGAGCTGGAGATGCTCGTGCTGCGTCTGCAGGAGAGCGACAAGAAATTGTACCAACCAGCGCTGGAAATGATGGCCAAGTTGATACGCGCCTCCACCACATCGATGACTTCGGTGCCGAAGCCACTGAAGTTTATGCGTCCCCACTACGAGACCATGAAGACCGTCTACAAACAGATGCCCGACGAGCAGACGCGCCAGCTGTGCGCCGACATTATATCGGTGCTGTCGATGACCATGGGCAGTGG